TGTCTCCCCCCAACCCCCACCTCTGTTTTCCTTGCAGCAGCCAGAGAGCCCTTTAAAACACAAACAGCCTCAATGGCCTCGGCCAAGTCTCCTGCCTCCTTCAGGTCCTACCTCAATTTTCACCTCCTCCAGGAAGTTGCCTGGGCCTGCAGCCTGGCTCCTTTCAGCTTCCTCACCACCAGCATTGCCCATTTGATGATGGACAGTGGACCACTGGGTCCAGCGAGTGGGGCCGTGAGCCAGGCCCTGGGTCAGGGCTCCCAGAACATGACAGATGCCCTCGCATGCCTGCCTACGAGAGCCAGCCTCTCGGGTCTGGGCAGGCTCCTGGGTCCCTTGGGCTTGCGGAGGGTCATTTGGCAACAGGTGCAGATATGCTCGGAGCAGAGTGGGGACAGGTCTCCCCTCCCAGTGTCAGCCACATCACTTACTGTTTTATTTTTAAGTGAAAGGTGAGACTTAGCACTAGGTGGAGAGTCCGGGTTCTAATCCCTGATTTGCACGCGGTCACTGGGTAGCTCTGAGCAAGGGCCACCCACTGGGGGGTTCAGTTTCCCCATCTGAATGGGTTGAGGTGGAACAGAGTGGCTAGATTCTCTTTGTGTCGGAAGTATAGACTCTGAGACTTCTGGCCATGCCTGCGGGGCCCTGGGCAGAGGTATGTGGCTGTGGACTTAGGGACATGCCATGGCCATCACAACCCGTGGCAGGCAGGTGTCCCCGTGTCTCTTGGCCTTCCCTGTCCTCATCGCATCCCCACTAAGCAGGTGGGAAACCAAGGCCTGGAGAGGGATGTGAGGCCCTCCCTGGTCAGGACAGAGTCAGGGCTGGTCCAGGGTCCAGGCCCCTCATTCTAAATCCCACCGGTGGCCCAGGTGTGGTCCAGACGCTGCGATGTGAAGACCAAGTTTGTCACTCACATACCCTGCACCGTGTGCCCCGCCATCAAGAAGCGGGTGTGTCCCCCGGGCTGGCTGCGTGAGTTGCCGGAGAAGATATCACAGGACTGCCGGTGTGGACCCCACCCCATCCTTGCCCACTTCAGGGTCATCCTGTGGGGTGTCTGGGAGACAGGAGGGGCCTGGCAGGGTCTCACTTATCTACACATTTGTTGGTCCTCCAGTGGGGAAGATGGAAGAACAGCAAGAGGGTGGGGCAGGTGGTGTTTATTGAGTATCTACTGTGTGCCAGGGCCTGTGCTCCACTCTGGGCCCGGCACATAGAGGGGAGGTGGAGTAGGAACACTGCAACCTACACGTCAGGATGCTGGGGTGGGGGCTGCAGGCTGGGAGCCCTGCCCACCACCCTGCCTACTGTTCTACCTACTCCCCTGCCTGCCTCCCTGTCCATCCTTTATCCTCAGCTACGAGGTGAAGCTAGGGGGCTCTCTGGTGTCCATGAGCGGCTGCAGCGTGGGATGCTGGAAGGACGTGGTGCAGAAGGCCTGCTGCCCTGGCTACTGGGGGTCCCAGTGCTATGGTATTGGGGGGTTCCAGTGCTATGGTGCAGGGGTGTCCCAGTGCTATGGTATTGGGGGGGTCCCAGTGCTATGGTATTGGGGGGTTCCAGTGCTATGGTGCAGGGGTGTCCCAGTGCTATGGTATTGGGGGGGTCCCAGTGCTATGGTATTGGGGGGTTCCAGTGCTATGGTGCAGGGGTGTCCCAGTGCTATGGTATTGGGGGGGTCCCAGTGCTATGGTATTGGGGGGTTCCAGTGCTATGGTGCAGGGGTGTCCCAGTGCTATGGTATTGGGGGGGTCCCAGTGCTATGGTATTGGGGGGTTCCAGTGCTATGGTGCAGGGGTGTCCCAGTGCTATGGTATTGGGGGGGTCCCAGTGCTATGGTATTGGGGGGTTCCAGTGCTATGGTGCAGGGGTGTCCCAGTGCTATGGTATTGGGGGGGTCCCAGTGCTATGGTATTGGGGGGTTCCAGTGCTATGGTGCAGGGGTGTCCCAGTGCTATGGTATTGGGGGGGTCCCAGTGCTATGGTATTGGGGGGTTCCAGTGCTATGGTGCAGGGGTGTCCCAGTGCTATGGTATTGGGGGGGTCCCAGTGCTATGGTATTGGGGGGTTCCAGTGCGGCAGGAGGGCCGGCCAGTGTCCCAGTGGGGGCCTGAGGAGACCCAGCTCTACAACCAGCCCCCCCAGCCTCTCTCCCAGCGCCCCCCCCCCGCCTTTCGCTTGGGGGTCCCAGTGCTATGGTATTGGGGGGTTCCAGTGCTATGGTGCAGGGGTGTCCCAGTGCTATGGTATTGGGGGGGTCCCAGTGCTATGGTATTGGGGGGTTCCAGTGCTATGGTGCAGGGGTGTCCCAGTGCTATGGTATTGGGGGGGTCCCAGTGCTATGGTATTGGGGGGTTCCAGTGCTATGGTGCAGGGGTGTCCCAGTGCTATGGTATTGGGGGGGTCCCAGTGCTATGGTATTGGGGGGTTCCAGTGCTATGGTGCAGGGGTGTCCCAGTGCTATGGTATTGGGGGGGTCCCAGTGCTATGGTATTGGGGGGTTCCAGTGCTATGGTGCAGGGGTGTCCCAGTGCTATGGTATTGGGGGGGTCCCAGTGCTATGGTATTGGGGGGTTCCAGTGCTATGGTACAGGGGTGTCCCAGTGCTATGGTACAGGGGGGTCCCAGTGCTATGGTTTTAGGGAGTCCCAGTGCTATGGTATTGGGGGATCCCAGTGCTATGGTACAACAAGGGGTCCCCACTTAGTTCCTAACACCCCAGCCCTGGGCTCCCCATCTGCAGCATCTGCCTGCCTTCCCCTCCACCGTGTTCACTTAATGGACACTTACTGAGCCAACACAGCTGGCCGCCTGACTCTGGCTGCCTTGGGTAGGGGCCACCAAGAGCTGCCGGGGTCAGGGATGAATCTAAAGTTCTTAGACCACAGCTGAATTATTGGATGTGGGGGTCCACAGAGTGCCCTGGAGGGGCAGGGACCCCGTGCAACGGCCATGGCACCTGCCTGGATGGCATAGACGGGAATGGGACCTGCGTGTGCCAGGTGAGTTGGCAGGCGGGGGCGGGGGGGACCGTGGAGGGGCCGCTCTGACTGGCTGTGCTCCTCCACCA